GTAACTATTTGATCTATATTAATGTTTTCTTCAGTAATCAATGGATCATTTTCACACAACTCATTAATTATGTACGAATAATTGACAGGTAAAATTCCTGCTATTTTTCCCGTAAGTGATGATCCTAAAATAGGCTATAATTTTAGATAAAAATTAGTAATAATGATAATACAAAAATTTTTAAATAGATTTTTTTACAGCAAAGTAATGCTTAGAGTATATAAAATATATACTTTAAGCATAGTTTTGCTATAAGAAGACACATATGTATTTTATATTAACCTCTTTCATATTGATATCAAGATTAAAATGAAAATTGTCATTTCCTAGAGATGAAGCAAGGTTTGCCATTTCTTTATCGTACATTTAGTAGCTAAAAAATCGATCAATATTAATGATATTATATATTATTTAAACATTAACAACAAGTCTAGCCTACTCAACCAATATTATATCGATTTCCACATCAATCTTCTACAATGTGCCAATTTTATTCAACCCGTAAGAATAACAATTCCCTCTTTTGAGATTTATTTATTTGTTAACATTACGTAATTTTATATTAGGTTTAATTAATGTTTGAAACATTGCATCATCGACGGTTACACACAAAAGCTTAATATTACACGATGTTAATCAATTTTATAAGTCAATAACTTTATATAATTGAACCAAATACTTTATATAACATTTGAATGGTTAGTCTGAGCATTTTTATGAGAAAATCGAATTAAACTTATTAAATTACGGGACTAATTCCTGCTCTTATAGGAGTATCGCTATCAGACTTTAATTATTATATGAGGAAATTATTTGATTTGATAATTAATAAAAATTTTAATCTCATTATTTATGTGATTACATAATTATTGGTATTAAAATATAGATAAAACTAAACGGTGTGATCATATTTTATCGGCTAATTTTTTTATTTACATATAAATATCTTATAAATCGCCTATGAAACTATTATAAGTACAGAAAATTGAATACGTATGAGCTGTTCAATACTTTACTATTCTTTATATGTAAAAATTAATATATATGTTAGTTGTATAACGAATCTAGTAGAACAAATTAACTGATCAGAGATTTATTGTAACAGTAGTACAAAATGTTACACGTGATTTACATTATGCATAACTAAGCACAGATTCTGTAAATGCGTGAAATTTATATAAAAAAACTAGCAATGTCGAAATGTTTGTCAAAATTGCTTTTTAAAAAAAATGATTTAGACATCTATGTATAATTATACCCTAGGTCTTATTCAAGAATTAAGTAGAATGGGTGGTAAATAATACCCAGGCCTTAATCACAGGGTATTATTTTGGGAGATACTGTATACAGTAGCCAATGATAGTATTTAATATGCTGCAATTAATGACAAATTACTTCTTAAATATGTGGTTGCATGACACAGTTACACTAAATCAGGAATAGATGAATAGAAGTCTAATTTAAAAATGCTGAGCAATTGGAATCAAATTCAGATACTCAAATAGATTTCAGACACATGTTTAAATACAGAATAGCTATATTGATTTTATAAAATGTTAATAGAATTTGTATATTTTATAATGTCAAATAATGAAGTTTAATAGTTTCTATTAGCTAATTATTATTATACTTATATGTAAATTTCACTCATAGATTGTTATACTGTCAAAATAAATCAATGCAAATAAAAACTAAGTGCTAAATAAGAAATAAGAGTTCATATTAAATATTTCGGCCAATAAATAATTGTTATGCTTTTGGATTTTATCAATATTGAATTTTTAATATTAATTAACACAGGAATGCTATGCACAATTGATAAATATTATGTTTCAAATAAATTAATATGAATTTTATTAAGATACAATTTATCCTATAATTTTCAATAATTTTTAAATTATAGTATATAAGTTTACTATAGGTCTCTCTTTCTTTCTCTCTCAATTTAAATTATTAAGAGATAATTACATAAATTATTAAAAAATAAAATTTACTGTATTTATTTAAAAAATAATTACATGAATTATTAAAAATTAAAACCACTATATTTACTAAAAATTAAACTTTTTTATATATGAAAATAGTTATTGATCTATTTTAATATTAGGATTGTTTGATTCTAATTTAAAGATATCTAAATATCTTAGTATTGCAAAGTGTATCAGTTAATACTTTTTCTACTTCAGATTCAAGATTATTACTACCAAGATTTAATATAGCTAAGGATATATTCTTGCAAATTGCATCAGCTAATGCTTTTTCTCCTTCTGATTCAAGTTTATTATAACTGATATCCAAATATGTTAAGGAAGTGTTCTTGCAAAGTGTATTAGCTAATGCATTTCCTTCTTCGGATCCAATATCATTATTATTGAAAATTAATGTTGTTAAGTAGGTGTTCTTGCAAAGTGTATCAGCTAATACCTTTTCTACTTCGGATCCAAGATTATTAGAAATGAGATATAACATTGTTAAGGAGGAGTTGTTGCAAAGTAGGGTTCCGCAAACTCAAATCAAATCAAATATTAGATTAATTTGAATTTGATTTAATTTATTCGAATCAAATATTAAATTAATTTGAATTTGATCAAATCAAATTGAATCAAATATAAAGCTAATTTGTATTTGATTTGATTTGATTTGTTATTTGATTAATATGATTCACGTAACGAAGGTTTTGGAATGCTCTATTTCAAGAGCTTATTACGCATAGCTTGTGCCGAGTGCTTGAGCGTACTCTTAATATTTCTCATAATCTTCGCTATGCCTTCTAAAAAAAATCTATAAAAAGTTTTTTCTATTCAACGAGCTGTCGAAGCTTCAGCTTCAGTTGTGCTGGCTTTGAGATCTTTTAGCTTTTATAGTCGTTACTAGACTTTCTCAATGCATTGAGCCTTCTCTTGTGATCTTTCTGAGGTTTAGACCTTTTAAGATCTTTTAGATCTTTACTATGGTCATGAAATCTCTTACTCTCGGGCTTACACTTGATTTGTTTCTTACTTATATCTTGCTCATTACTTGAATTGCAGACAAGGACTTTACTATGTATTTAAGATCTTTGTTCTGATTCTTTACTGGTTATGTCTAGATCTGGCATTCTATCGAAAACATCAGGAAATTGAAGCTCAGTATAAGGATTTATCAATTCTTGGGTTCTAAGTGGCTGGATACAGCCGAGGACACTCTTGAGAGTTATTGATATTATGGTCTTTAGAAATATGAGTATCAAACTCTTTGGATTGAGACAATTCTTAATTATTTAGTTCTTATTTAATTTTAATATTATATTAATATCTTTATTCTCCTTTAAGGGGTTATCAAGATCTATGAACATCTTTTGATCAAGCATCGAAGACATTCCATTATGGTCTTTTATAGTAGGCTGGTTGAGTGACTTTTGAGAATACTCTGTTGATGTTAGATAAGTATTTGTTTCTTTAACTTGCTCTTTGGTATTAGTATCTTGTTATTTTGGTGTCTTATTAATTATATCCTGGTCTTCTCTGTGTTTTATCTTTTCATCAGAAAACTCTACACAGGTTAATTCTTGGGAACGAATGTTTTAAAAGTAGGAACTAATAATCTATAACTAACTAACAAAAAAAACATAACTAAATACTATAATCTATAAACTAATAAAGGTAATAACAAAACCGAAACTCCAAAATTAAAAGGCTGTGATCGAGGCGTGTTAAGATTTGGTCTGAGTTTTTGAGTGCTTGGGCCTAGTAGAAACAATACCCAGGTCAAGTTGAGTCTTCTTTTATTTTTTTTGAGAGTTTACTTGATGTATGGCATATAAGCTGATACTAACAGTTCTATTTTCTTCTTGCTTTTCGAAATTTCTCTATCCCGGGTTACATGTCATGAGACTCAAAGTCAATAATGACGAAATTTGATCAGAGTTTAATTTATTTTCATATTTATAAGGGATCTGATTACTAATTTAATGGTTCTCTCTCTCTCTTTATTCAAGAATAACGACTTTTAGAGGTATCACGGGAACACGAATATTTTATGAAAGACAATTTATTATATATAACTTAATGATCCAAGGAAATAACTACTGGAAAACCAACTTCTACTAACGTTTTCGAAGTTAAGAACTCGACTGAGTTAGTTTTTATTAAAGCGAAAAGATTGGTCTTGTCTACTTTTAGATCACTACTAATTACATGAGGGCTGTGTTCATTATTGAAACTTCTTTTTACTATATTCTTTTTACATAAGAATTATACTAACTACACATTTTTTATTTTAAGGCAAACTACGCTATGCAAATTTGTATGAATAGAATTCGTTCGAAATTGAATGAATTTGATTATTCTGCTTCGTACAAATTCGAATAATCGCCTTTGTACAAAATTGAATGAGCTAAAGAGGGCTTATACTAATTCGTTCAAATTTGAATAAACCTTGTACATAAGTTCTATTCTTAGTAAAGATGGTCGTTTTTGCTTACTATTCTATTCTAACTTCGTTATACTAATAGTAATAAAATAATAATAGGATAAAAATAGAGAAATAAAAAAATAACTCCTGTAGGTGCCCAAAACCCGTTTACAACATGATTCTTTACACCTTCTATAGTTATTTTTCTGTTTCATTGATTATCGTGTTTATTTTATTTAAACCTTTTAATTCTAATCCCAGTTGTTGATTTTGATGGCGATGACTAACTTAAAACGTTTTTGGGCACTGCCCAAAATAAAAAATTTGACATGTCGAATAGCACTATTCGAATGCCATTCAGCATGCCATTCAACTTATCATATAATTTCGCGGACATGAATGTCCGTGAAGTCATGTGAATAGTATTTGAATAGTACCATTCGACATACTATTCAGTATGCTATTTAACTCTATTACATGACTTCACAGACATTCATGTCCGCAAAATTATATGATAAGTTGAATGGCGACGATTTCTTTCACAAGTTCTCTGTCTTGTTCTAGTGCTGTTTTATTAACTATAAGCATTTTATCTGTAAGTTCATGATTCAATTCTTCAAATAATTTCGTATCAGTTGATTTTCAAGGGGACTATTGATGATATGATAAGTATCCATCTTGTCGGTTTTACTATTATTGTCTTTCCTTTCAACAATGACTTTGCTATTGCTGCTTTTCTCTTTATCATCTAAATTCAGTCTTAATAACGCTTCAATAAGGTTATTAATTTGTGCGACGATGTGGTTATAATCAATATTTATGAGTAGATTATAGCTATCTATTATCTCATTGATTTCTTGGTTTAAGTCTTGCTCTTCCATTAGTTTACTAACTATAGTAGTGTTTCATTTATCCATTGATAATTATGCCTTTATCAGAAGATTCGGAAGATCATCGTCCACAGGATAAGTATCACCTATATTGTTGTTTTTATTCTGTAACTTATTAATTGTTATGCTATGTTCTGCGGAATTATATTGTTGTGGTAGCATAAAGTTTAAAAGGATTATCAAAAGATTGGTTAATAAAATTAAGTTGGTGATATAATTTGAGTCGTTTAAGAGATACATTTTAGTGTTGAGCAACTCTAATATATTTTCTCAATTACAGATTTGAGTTTCTTTAGCCTATAGCAAGTTAAAAAAAATGCAAAATCCTGAGTCGCTAATGTAATTCCGATGCCAATTCTCAGAACTATATTTTCTAGCTGTAATAATCACGTGAAGTACATGTGGTTATTCTTTAATTATATATTGACTACAAACCAATTCTAGTAGTATAGTTGCTTTAAATACTTGATGTCCATATGCAAAAGTTTCATATCATGCTATTAAATTTAACTAATCGATGAAATAATTTGGAATACATATAATTTTGTTGTGGAATTTTTAGGCACATTTTAGAATTTTACGAATTACAATCTATATTTATTCGGAATCAATCTAAATCTACAATAATTCCATTCTGACATAAGACATATATAGATTACTTTAACTCCAACTACGTATTCACTACATACTTCATGAAAAACAAAGATAAAAATGGCGAATTATACTATATTATTATATGTATGTATGTGACCACAATTTTATTGCTTATTCAGATTTTACTTGATAAAATAATAAGTATGATACATATATACATAAAAATATGATACGCACATGTAATGATCGACCAATGATTCAAACAAAAATCCGTTTTTAAAAACTGTTCATATCCCAAAAATTTACATAACAAATCGACTTTTGTATCCTAACAAAAATTTTTTCTTTTAAAATTTTACCTTATAATGTTTCTTTCATAATAATTCTACTGCTTATTATAACAATAAAATATACGTTGATTATTACATGTGTTATATATACATATAACTATATAAAAATATATTTATATATAAATTAGAAATCTAGGTATAATACAAAATTATAACCAACTTTTAAGGCACATAATCGCCTGTATTGTGCCACTTTCAAGCCTATTTCTTTCAGGAGTAATTACATTTCCACTTTTACTAAATAACCGCTCTACAGGAGTGCTAGTAGCAGGTATCGATAGATAATCACAGGCCATTATTGCCAATGTAGGATATTGTTTTTCATGAGTTTTCCACTAATCTAATACATTAATTTCACTAGGTTCTAAAGAACTATCCAAATATGTATTAAGTTCATCATGACCATCATGATTACGAAAATGCTTTGGAACAGGAAATAATAAATCCTCGTCATCGTCTTCATTTTGTAAATTATTACTTACAGATGATGAAATTGGAAAATATAAAGAACGATACTCGTCAAATTGTTTAGTAAAACTAAATAAAATAAATAAGTAAATAATTAATTAAAAAAAAAATTATAAATAAATAAATAAATAAATTTCAATTTACAAATTTTTCACATCTTTATAATAAACTTGATCATAATTATCATTAGCCCAAGTTTGAAAATATTTAATCTTCCAACAGGGATCAAGAATCGTGGAAATATAATGATAAGATTCCAAAGTTTTATTATAATATTCTTGAAGCTTTTCCCATGCTGCTTTTGCCGCATCTGATATTTTATTACAGGCTTGATCATTTATTCTTTTTCACAATGATCCATAAGATAATTATACATAAAATATGCTGCACTAATTGTCGGATATGTAGAAAAACACATTTCAGTAGAAAGTTTAGCAAATCGTTTTAAAAATATCGCAATATTTTCAAGAGATATCCATTCGGATTGACTAAGTTTAAAATCACTTAGATCTGAAAATTCTTCGATTAATAAAATCTTGTCAAAAACCTATTATAAAAAATAATAAATAAATTTATTTGTAAATATTTTATTCCTTACCCAGGCAAATATTATTTTATATAAATAAAATAGCAAATAAAAACGAACCACTTTTAAACTTAAAGCTCGTTGAATCATCATGTATGTACTATTCCAACGAGTTGGAACATCAAGAATAAGTAACAAATTAATATTATTTAAATTTGCAATTTCTGAAAATTTCTTGCGTTGTTGTGGAGATGAGCGGAATTTAGTAATAAGATTTCGAATTTTTTCAGTTTCATCTTTTAGCTTCTTTAAAGCAATTTGAACAGAAAGATTTACGATATGTGCAAAGCAATGGAAGTGATTACTAGAAAAAAAATTAATATTTTTGTTAATCGCCCATGATTCGAGATGATCAATCATTGTATCATTATTAGGTGCATTGTCTGAAGTAATTCCATTAATCTATAAATTAATTAATTTTATTAATTTTACCGAATTACAATAACATTAAATCATACTATTGGTGTTTAGCACCATATATATTTTTTAATAGTTTCACTAGTAAAATTTAAGGTAAAGGTTAGAGTTAGATGTAAAATTTAAAGTTTTTGAACGCTTGGCACTAATTACTTAGTTAGCTTTTGAGATATAGCAATTGTGGTGTTTGAACACCACTATATGATTTAGTAAAAAACCCAATAAATTAAATTAATAAAAATATACCTTAGATTCAATTTGATAAAATTCTAAAACATTAATTACTTTATTTGCAAGATTCGTGCCTGTATGAGAACCTTCTACTTCAACAAAATCTAAAGTTTTTTGTTGGAGCTGCCAATCTTTATCTATATAATGAGCTATAATTCTTATATAAGCCTTAACCGCAATCAAAGTCCACATATCTAAAGAAACTGCAAATTTTCCTGGAATTACTTGTAATTCTATTTGGACACTAGTTTGCATTTTTTTATATTTTTTTATTATATCACGTTTAATTGTATCTGCAGATACAACATGAAATTTTGATATTTTTTCAATTATACTTTTAATTTGACCTTCTACTATTGTAAAAGAAAGGTCTTCGAGAACAATCTATTCTATAATCTATGACCGTAAATCATCTTGAGTAACCTATATTAATTAATTAATAAAAAAATTTAAGAATTAGAATAGAAATAAAAATATCCTTAGTTATGATAAATATATATATATATAAACTTTATACTTCAGAAATCTTATTATCGTTATTATAAGATCTGTAATGATCTAAAGTATATTGAGATGTTGGCGTTCCAAGAAGAGATGAGTGTACTCTTTTAACATGTGTCCAAAGATTTGTTGTAGTACCTTTAATAATAGAATATCTAACATTTAGACAATGTTTGTATTTCGTAGTAATGGTTTTATCTTTTTTCTTTTTATCAAAAAATTTCCAAATGTCAGATCGTGAAGAACTAGAAGCATTAGATGTTTCATCTATAATATCAAAATTATTTGAAGTTTCAGATATTGTATCTGATATTTTGGTAACATTTGATACTTCGGACATAGTATTTAATATTTCTGATATAAAAGATTCATTTATATTAGGTGTATTAAAAAGTTCGCTGCCAAAATAATTGTCGCCCATTGGTAAATAATAATTATCATTAAAACAATTATTTTCATCTATTTTATCGCATTAAAAAGTAAATTTAATTAGTTTATAAATACAGAAAACCTAAGTATTTGATTAATAATTTCAAATATTTGATCACTAATTTCAAATATTTGATCGTGAATTTCAAATTCAATTACTTTTGAATTCTGCATGTTACCATTGTTTTAACAATGGCAATATGCAGGATTCATGAGATTCTCAAAATTCATTGATGATAACTTCAATATATTCGAATTTATTTGATTAACAATTTTGAATAAAAATCAAATATTTGAATATATTTGATCAACAATTTCAAATAAAAATCAAATATTTGATTTATTTGATTAACAATTTCGAATAAAAATCAAATATTTGATTTATTTGATCAACAATTTCAAATAAAAATCAAATATTTGAATTTATTTGATCAACAATTTTGAATAAAAATCAAATATTCGATTTATTTGATCAACAATTTCAAATATTTGAGTTTTTTATCAATGCTTAAGTTTATTTACACAGCCAAACTATTATACGGATTTACAGATACAAAAGAGCTTCTAAATCAAAAAAGGCAACTACGCTGAATAGAGAATGCTACAAAAAAAATACCATAAATTGTACTGGGAGAGTACTATATAAAAGAGATGAAAGATAGAAGTAATTAGATAACAGGCTAAAGAATTAAAAGTTTTCTGTTTGTGACGGATGATAAATCACGTGAGCAAGACAATATCAATATAATTTTTATTTCTTGATTTTGGTACATACTTGTTTTTGTACAGTACCCTACATTGATTTAACCAAATAATAAAAATGTCAATTCCCTTGTATAGAAAACAATAACCAAACCTGAAGTAAACAAATAACATATTCAATAAGAATTTAAGACAAGTTTTTCACACACTCTGCATTAAACATATATATGCCTTAAACTAGTTATAGCTATAAGGGATATTGACTGATCCATAGAGAGCTGGTTCGGACTGGGTCTGGACTAGATATGGGTTTCATGCATGCTTAATACGCATGAAACGTATTTTATCTCATCTAAATTTTACATTGTGAATTAAATAACAATACGTCCTGAGTGGTGGTACTTGAAAAAAATTCACTAATTAAGAAGTTAAAATTAGTTAAGTGCTGACTTTCGTTTAATAATGGTAAAGCTTATAATAAAAAGTATTATAAAATCTATATTAAACTGCTAGGGCATGTTTTTGATAGAGGGTGAACTAGTTTTTAACTAGTCCTGGGTCACTTAACATCCCTTATACAAAAGTATTATTTAGAGAGCTACAAGCCATAAGAGAGGTAATTGATAAAGATGGGTAAAACGGCAGATTAAAGTTTACACACGATTTAATGATTCTTTTATCATTCGATTCATCTTATCAAGACAAATCGAATGGTGTATAAAACATTCGACTCTAATTAATGGATTGCAAATACTCATACAAATACTCTTAACAAGATCCATCAATCCGCCACTTTACCCTCCCAACCGTTGAAGTTACTATATAGCGCTACATAAAGTACCCAGTATAGTACCTCCTCAGTGCTGTGTATGGTTGTAGGTATATACTATGCATCATAGGTTTGATTGATCTCATTACGATATAAAGCTGATTATTAATTTAGTATGAAAATATTAATATATTTATTTAGGATCTGTTAGTATGAATATGAATTTGTAAATCCTTATCTGAAATTATATATTTAAAGAAAGTCTTAAAACCTTTAATAAAGATTAGAAGTCGAATGCCTTTTGACCCTTCTCATAATAAAGAAATATTCTTATAAATCATCCAAACCATTCCTGAACTATACTGGCGTTCATAGTCAATTTAGATGTAACACCATATAAATACTAAAGAGATGCAGACATTAGAATTTTAGCTACCTAGCAAAAATTTCACAGGTACTTAGTCATAGGCCGACATTCGTATGATTGGTTAATTTTTGTAGATCTACCCGTGATTTTCCATGATAATTAACCAATCAAATTACATAGTTTTTAAATTTTATCGTTTAATAGAAAGATAAAAAAACTTCGTAGAAAGAAGCTTCTAAAGCTTATAAAGCTTACAAACCAATAAACACATA